CAGAAAGTATGAATTCACTTATGAAGGCAAGACAGTGACTGTTGCACTATCTTGTTATTGCAGCTGTTGTGTATAAAGTATAGCTACTGTAACCTGGGAGTAGAATTTTTTTGGTTAATCTTTCGTGTTGGATACTTATTAAAGATGATGCTGTGCAGCAGTATTCCCGAGCTTTGTTGTTTTGCTTATTATAGTGTTTTTATGGCAGGCAAGGATTCTGAAACTTGTATAGTGTTTCATAGACTGCCTCCTTTCACTATCATAGTACTGACATCTGCTAATTTTTTTCCAACGGGAAAATCATTTAATGCATCTTTTTTTAGTCTTCAGAAACAAGGGCGAACTACCACATGGTTATCTAGATCTCTGCAGGCCACTAGGGGCATTTATACACATACCTTTATCATGCTGCAACGTACCTTTGATTAATCGGGTCTGATCTGCATGGAAGCTGACATGCCCGGCGCTGTGTCATGCACATTTGTATAAACGGTGGCACATCAGTGTTTGGAAAATGGCAGTGGTGCACTTTTGAACTAAAACACCTTTGACTGTGTTGATGTGCTGCCACCATTTTCCATCTGGGGTGCCAAATTGTGGTGGGAGAAACCTCCCTAAGGTTCGTTGTCTAGCTGTAATTTGATTGACAGACAACGCGGGTAAAGAAAGACAGCTGTTTATTTGCTCGAGCAAAGACCATAAAGCCAGCAAAAGGCAAAATGGCCCCCCCCTAAGGGTGAGGTGATCTTTTATACTTATTATAACAAGGCAAGACTTCATGGTTAACAAAAAAAGCAATACTTGGGCGGTGCTTTTTAAATCTTTGTAACAGCATATTTTTATTAAGCTGAACTAGCACTTTTTTAAAAGCTAAAAGTTAAGTAACAGTAACATTATAATATGTTAGCAAAACCTTACACAGTAGTAGATACTTCTCAAGGACACAACCAGTGCACCCAGAACAATGGTTTTCCTGTCTTATCTTACTTTTTGCTGTAGCTGATTTTTCAGCACACAGACACAGAGATACTTGCTGCTTTTAACTCAGAAAATGCTTAATATAGTTAAAATGATTACTTGACACAAGCAAAGGCTTAGCTATCAATCTGCCTTGTGGTCAGCTGCATTGCTAGGCTACAGGTCATGCCTTGTATTCAGCTGTAAAGCTAATACTTCTTAATAATCTAAATTATTGTTAACCTAACAGTATGCTATCAGAAAATTATTTTATTTCAGGGTAATAACAAACCTGCGCACTACACTGGGACTCTTTTGTGTATGCACCCAATAGGCAGGGATGTACAAGATTCCTACGCACACTGCCTTCCCGCCTGCCCATGCATCTCTGCCCTGCTTGGGAAGTCCCCCCCTCCACAGAGCCCATCCTGCTGTTGGCTTTGGTGGCAGGGTGTTAGGATGGGATGGGTGATGTTGGAACACAGCCGTGGACACAAACCTCACTGCCAGCTCTGTGTGCAGCCCCAGTGACTGGACTTCTCCATTGTGCCAGTTGATCTAGAACAGAGCTTTCCAAACTTTTCATGTTGGTGACACACTTTTTAGACGTGCATCATTTCACGACACAGTAATTCAGTTCCGGGGGAGGGGCCAAGGGAAGCAGACATGAGTAAGGGAGCTCCGCGGTGCTCTTCCGCAAAATTTTCTGCATTTTGCGCGACACACCTACACACTGCCGCCGACACACTAATGTGTCGCGGCACACAGTTTGGAAAGCTCTGATCTAGAAGATCACTTGCAGCTCATGGCTGTGCTGGTTACATGCAGACAGGCAACACCAAAGAGAATGAGACTGCAGGATCCATGGTGTGAGAGTGGTCACAAGGTCCTGTGTATTATGTCTACCCTGCAGAGCCGTGGCAAGGAAGTTTGGTGTCTGGGCCAAAGCCCACAGCAACAGCCAGCCCTCGTCCCATGCACAGATCTGGGGCTGGGCAGTGCTTGTTAGCACCCCTTTGCTTTGGTTCCTGGGGCAGTCTCCCTGCTCACCCCAACTTTGCTACAGCACTGCTCCCCTGTCCATTCCCCCTGACTCATGGTGACAGAGGCTGAATGTAGCTTTGCACGTGTTTTGGTTAAGTGTGGAGCAGGGCTTGGTGCATATCAGCATAAAGCATGGTGCAATGCAAACAAAACAGAAACTGGGGCCCCATCTTAGGTTCCTCCCTTGCTCGTGATCTCTAACAGCAACGCCAACATAGCAACAGTATCTGATACATCATACAACCCATGGTTACCGAAGCAACCATGGTTGTGGGCAGCGAATCTTATTTCAGCAGTAGAGAGTCCTCCCACGCACAATGGACAAGGGAATCCTTGTTCCATGCAACTGGATGCAGTGACTGCTCTGCCCCCCACCCTTTATTCTCAGATCCTTAACTCGCTTACCCACAGCACCTTCTTCCTCTGGGCCCTACAGAGACATCTGCCCTAGTAAGAGGTGCCCATTCGATCAGACCTGGAGCCTTGAGTCATCTCCTCATGCACAGAACAGGTGCAGCATGAACAGCAGGGCTGAAAGGGTCCCATACCCACCGCCATCTGGAGGGACCATATATAAGGGAAGTGGGGACCTCATTTGATCTCAGTCCATTCTTAAGATTTTTGCTGGGCTTGTCTGTGAAGGAGGCAACTGGACCAGGAACTTCAAAAGAGCCTCATGATCTCAGGTGCCTCATTTGTAGGGAGCCTAACTTGAGATAGTTTAAGGGAGCCTCATTCTCAGAAACTGCCAAGCATTCACCATCTGAAAGTCAGGCCCTATTGAAGCACCCAAATCACTCCTTACTTGTAGTTGGTCACTGAAGTTCGTGTGCGACAGGGTGGTCCTATGGGATGGGCATCAGGTGCAGGGGACAGACTGAAGTAAAAGTGTCCTGCAGTGTTGGTTACAGCAGCTTTTCTGAAGTTCGCACAACTATTTTAGTGAAAAGAGAAAAAGAGGGAAAGCTCCACTTTCCGATTCATTCTCCACATCAGAAATTGGCCTTTGGGGCAAGGACAGCTGAAAAATCCCCTCTATCCCTGCTCTGCCAACTCCACATCCAGAAAAAAATCCAGAAAAAACCTGGATTCCTCAGGAGGGCTTATCATGGGAAATCAAGGCTCTTTAGATGTAGGTCCCACCAAGGGGATGTTGAAAACAGCTGAACCATCATCTGAGTGGCAGTTGTCACCGTGACCTTATTTGTGGCGTAAAGAGCCCTGCCTCTCCTTCGGCAGTGGCAAGCCCTGGAGTGCCTGTGGCTGGGGTGTCCATTACTACAGAACAAAAGGGGAAAAGCTGAGCACGCAGCAGGTGATGCGCCCACCCCCTCTGGGGCTGTGTTCTCCGAGCCGCCCTTTACCCGCACAGCCCTTGAATTCTCAGGCCTCCATCTGAGATGATCTCAGCCCTTGTGAAACTTGGCAGAGCGTCGGCACTAGTGTCTGGACAGCTTTGACTACATCCAGGACAGGTTGGGACAATGAAAGCCTCCCACACAGGTCCTCCGGCCTGACAAGGTGCCTCAGCCCTGCAGGGATGCGGGGAAGCCACATTTTAGGACCAGCAGGGAGTTCCCTCTCCATAGGCTGCTGTGTTCCTGGCTTTGTTGCTGAGGCAGTTGACAAGTGTGTCAGTTAATAAATCCCAGTGGACACAATTCCCATAGAAAGCAAACAAAGATTACTTCATCGCAGCTCTAGGGACTGGAGATTAACTGGTCTAATGGGACCCAATGGGACAGTCAAATAAAGAAGGCCAGCTTCTTGCCTAAAGCTCACGCTCTGTTAAACACACACACATAAGGAGTGTCACCTGATGGCACTGCACAAGGTAAAACCCCTGACAATCCTCTGTTTCTGCGACCAGGAGCTGTGGCAGCTTGGGGAAGCAGCTGAGATTCATAGGATTCAATGTGCAGCAGTGCTGCAACATGCTCCACATGCCCAGGCTTAATGCAACGCAAGCTGAATTTTGCTCCTTGGGTGCTTCAGGTGTGTGTACGTGCATGTGTATGCATGCGCACATGTGTGTACAGAGGGGAGGCATGCCTCCATTGCTGGAAAGTGAGGGGTATCCCCAAAGTCTCAGAGTAACCCCTACCATACCAGAAGAGCATAGAGAGGACCCTATCTTAGACTTTTGCTTTGCCCATGGAGAATGCTTTTTAGGTTGGTGGCAGCTGCCAAGTCAAATGGCCTGTGGGAGGCAAAGGAGCTGCGTTAGTAGGGTAAAGCATTGTTTTTTGTTTCAGAGATGGGAAGTCCTCAGGGCTTGCAGGTAGGTTGTTACTACTGAGTGGAAGAAAATGGCAAGGCAACCAGCTGGGGTCAGTGACTGTCTCTTCTCAGCTTGTATTCATGTATTCACATATATCCTCTTGGCCCCGACCCCAAATCCAAGTGTTCCATAACACATGCAGGTTAGAGTTACAGAAGGTATTGTGCAACAGTAGGAGATTGCGCAGTGGGGTATGGACCATAAAGTAGCTAGAAGTTTCTGGATTCCAAATCCAGGGCGTCAGCAGCTAAAAACCTCATGATTCCTCATGATCTCCTTTTCTAAGAGCTTGTGGCTTCTTTGCCTTTCTTTCTCTGATTGAGTGCACTTCCTGCAGAGACCAGCCTCCTCACTTCCCTCTGACTAAAACCCAAACCCGTGAAGATAAGAGTCATCATGGGGACACCAAGACCTTGATGCCCAAAGAGCGCTCTATTGACTGCTCTAGTAACACCAACACTGTGACCAGCTCCGCTCAAATGACAATACCACTTTTAGCTGTTAAGCTCATTAGCATGCTTCGCATTGCATTAATATTAATAGTAACTTCCTTCAGCTCGTTCACCAGCTGCAGCATCTGGTTTCACTTCTATGCCCCTAATCTGATTTTATTTCATTTTGCCTCAGCGACTGTTACCCAACCCCCATACTGCTCATTCTCTGCCTCTGGTGCCCACCACTCCTCCTGTCACACTGAATCCTTTGCCTTTATCTCCAGATTGCCTACACAGCAGACAGGTGGTGCCATTTTCGAAGAATGGCACCAGCAACGTGGACAAGTCACATCTCTGCCTTGCTGCACTGACAATGGGGAACACACTGCAGAGCTTACTGTTGTCTTTGGCATCCTGCCACCAGGCACACACCACTTCAGAAATGCAATGAGGAGTTACAGCAGAACTTTGTGCTGTGTCAGCAGCAACAGTTTCAGATGCACGTGCTTCCCACTGCACAGCAAGTTAAACCCCCGAGCAGTCTGAAAACAAACCAAGATGCCGAGTGTGAGGAAGACAAAGTCAATGAGATCCACACTCCACAGAGCATCTGTTCTGGGCCTAAGACGCTACAGAGGCAATGCACCAATATAAGACCTCCTTTGCCAGTGGAGAAATCTGCGGCCACAACTGTCTGGAAGCTCCATCTCTGATGGCTCCTGGTCTGTTGCAAATCCGTTTGGCGTAGGCAAGTTGCCCACTAGGGTTGGTGTGATGGAAATATGTACTGCCACTACAAAAATACTCCCACAGCATTTAGAAGGGATGTAAATCCTCAGGAAGTTATTGAAGTCTTCACCCATGTGGGGTTCCTTAATTGCTGTGGAACAACTGATAGAATCCATAGTCCCATTCATTGTCCCACTTCTCAAGCCTTGGGGCTCATAAATCAGAAGAGATATTCTGCCACTGGGCTCCAAGGCCTAGTCAATCACTGTGGGCAGATTCATTAGTGCTAATGCAGGTTGGTTTAGAAAAGGATATGGCATTTGAATTTGTAGGAACTCTCCCCTGTTTTCCCTAACAAAGGATATTTTTCTGGGATTGCAAAGCACATAGCTATTAACAGCGTGAGCTAGTTTTAAGGGTGAGCAACTGCAGTAATTGCACAGGGCCTAAACCCTGTGGTTGAGATTAAGTTAGAGCAAGTCACTTAATATGGGGAGGGGAAAAGGGAGAGGCTCATGTCTTGACCTTTGCTCAGGGCCACCATAAATCTAAGCCTGGCTTCAGGGGACCCTGCCTACCCTCTCTTGCAGTTGCTAAGAAAATCTGACAGTGGTCTTCTGGATGTCAGAAAAGAGTGGAGAAACAATTGCTCAAGCAGCTGCTGGATGACGGTACAATGCACCTTTTCAGGAGATTAATAATAGCTTGGTGCAAGCCTAGGGATGGGCAAGCAGCTCCTGACTGGGATTTGAACTGTGCTGCGTTCTGCACAACATCCTTGGGGCCAAGTCTAAAGGTTTCACCAAGGCCTGGCAGGCAGGGACAGAGAGACTTGCACAATTGTTAAAACACCCTGAATGACAGCTCACAATGGGATGTTGTCCAGGAGATCTCATGCTACATACCTGAAGGAAAGGACCTAATTGTCAGGGGTACAACCAGGGTATCAGCAATCTGAGCTTGACTTCGGAGGGTCACAACTCAGGGGATCAGGAACAGGCAAAGGTCAGGAATCGAGAGTCCCCAGCTGGAGTTAGGGGGATCAGAAGCAAGTGTCAGAAAGCCGTGGTTTATAATGGACCAAGATATAGGCAGTCACCCTGGATAAAGCCACAAACCAAGGGGGTCAGGAACAGGAAGCAGGAATCCAGACCAGAGCCACTAGCTAAGGGTCCAGAGCAGGAAGCTATCACTGTACAGGACTAGGTTATGGACAAGCTGCAAACTCAAGTCACAAGTCAGGAGCCAGTTGTCAGAGGACAGGGTCTAGACCAGACTCAGAAGCAAAGATGGCAGGAACCAGCAAGTCAGTTTGGAGAAAAGGGGTCCAAGCTGGAGTCTGGGGAACAAGGAGCCAGCAGCCAGATAACAGGAAACTAGGAACAAGGACTAGACAGAGAGACATCTGTCCTATTTAGTAGCCTCCTGGGCACTGAAAGAGCTACTGCTTATAAGCAGGCAGTCATGCCCATGCAGGCAACTGGGGCCAGCTGATGGTAGTTTGGCTGCTGACAGCGAAGTCCACTCCAATAACCAAGGCCAGTCTGTGGGCAATGCAGTTTGCCTACTGCCCTGGCTCCTGGCATTAATGGGTTGATCTGGTGTTTGTGAAACTGCAGCTTGAGGATTCTGCTTTGGGAGCCCTGCAGGCAGCCATGAATGTTAAGCATCACGGTGCCTCCCTTTCACCTTGGGTTTTCTATGTAGGGGCTGCTATGACTGGTTCCTGTGGGTTTGATAAATGCTGGGTATCTTCAGACCAACATTAACCCAGGCCTGTGTCCACCTTCCAGCTGGGTGGGGCCTCTGGTCATAGAGCAAGTAGGGGTCTATGAGGCTGGAGCAGGTCAGGGGGCTGAAGAGGTAAAGTGGCTATTCTTATGGCTCTCCAACACGGTGGTGGACAATGTGAGGGCACAAAGCTCCTCTCAGCCCTATGCAATGTCTGCCTATGCCCCTGTTGCACACACTTTGCAATAGTGAGTTGCACCTCCATCACAGAACCTGACTGCTTTGCCTGTTCTGTCTGCTTGCCACTACGTCTGCATTTCCACTCCCACACTTTCCCCTCTTCTTGCTAAGACTCCCATGCTACAACCAAGGCTTTCTCTAGGGATCTCTTTAGTTAGGTTGAGCCCCCTCTCTTCTAGCTTTCTGAATTTCAAGCTCTTGTTCTTCTCCTCCATGAAGAACTTTCTCCTTTCCCTCCACCCCGCTCCTACATCTTGTCAACACCTTTGCAAGACCCCCTGAACGTCTCACTCAGGTGCACTTTCTGGGCCTCCAAGCTCACCAGATGGTAGGCCAGCATCAGCCAGGAGCTCCTTGAAGGTCTGGAGGCTTCAGGTTCTGACCCTGAAAGGCTCTTTATTCAGTACCCAGGTTCTCAGAGACGATGACTTTTCCACCTCACACCTTTCGGGATGCTTCTCCCAGAGCTTCTTCCTGGCCTTGAGAGCCCTGGAAGATGGGAAGAATTTTTTCAGCTCCCTCTTTGCCTTGGAGGTGCGTCAGGTTTTGCAGTTACTTTGAGCTGTGTGGGGCTTGACCTGTGGGTTGCCTGCTACTTTACCAAGTGTGTTTAATGTGAGGAAGTGGAGGTTACCTCAAGGGGCAGAGCTCTGGAGCTGGCCTGATGTGCATTGCAGCTTTTGTGTAGCTCAGGTGACTTGGCAGACAGTTGTTTAGCTCTTATTGCTGGTACGGCATCAGCGATGGGGGCAAAGCTGGGCTGGCAAAACCTGGGTAGAGAATGAGTTTTCACTTCCACAGGCAGGCTTGAACTTAGAGAGTATGTTGCTACTCTGTGTGACAAAAATGCAAAGAAAATACTTTTGTGTGATGTCAAAGGGGAATCCTGATGTGCGCACACTGCTGTTATTTAACAGGATGGGGCCTCCAGAGGTTGGGGGGGACATGGACATGAATGATATCCCCAAATTGCTTGGCCTGGTGTAAAATGGCACTGGATTGAATCAGACACAAAACGCCCCAATTTACATTAGATTCACCTAGATGCATAAAGTCCCAGTGGACACAACTCTTTTTGTATTGGGACAACTGGGTTTAGTTTGGGCCAAGTTTATATAGCTGAGCCCTAACCCATCTCCAGTAGCTAGCTGGAGACTTGATGCAGTACTTTCAGGAGTTCATCTGCCCTTCTCTTTCTGTTACCCAAAGGAGGGTTTGTCACTGGAAAGCAATGCAAGGTTTCCCCCTTGCCCCTTAAGCCTGCAACGTTCCCACAAAGTCAGCAAAGCAAACGGTGCTTTAAGGCAGAGCCTCCTTTTGGGCGTTGCCCCTTGCAGGAGGATGCTTTGCAAACTGGAAGTACCGGTTAAGCATCTGAGCAACTGTTGCCAGAGCAACTGCATTTGTGGTATGAAGGAAGTCAACCCTCCTTCAGCAATGGAAAGCCTGCTGTGCCTGCAGCCAGGGTGTCCCTGTTACTGCAGAGTCAGAGTGTGCCATGTGACACACTGTGGGAGAGATCTGCCTCATCTTTGCCTGTGTTGCAACAGGCCATGTTTCTCCTACGTCCCACTCTGCTCAGCCCTGCTGGAACTGCTTGCCCCGCAGGAGGAGAAAGGAGCTCCTTCTCTCTGATGCATTGAGTAGTTGGTCCTGATGCTAAGTAGCCCCGCTCCTGGCAGACTCAAGGGCTTCCAGCAATTTGGCTGGAGTGGTCAACCCATTTCAGTCCTGGAAGCAGGAGTCCTCCTAGAGCCTTCACAACTGCCGCAGTGCAAACCTTGGCAATGGAAGAACAAAGGAGGCCAAGGTGGAGACCTCCCCTCAGACCCTCTTATTATGCACAGAAGAGTTATACTGGAGACACCACCAAACTAAGGTTGAGCAGGACTGCAAGAGCCCTGTTTTATGCCCCATCTCCCCCTTCCTACCTTTTCTATTCTGGGCCTCAAGTTGAAGGCAAGTACCTACCTCAAGGGGGCATAACATGGCTGCTGCTTTTGGCTGAGGAACAGGATGCACTTAATGAGGATCCCACCTAGTCTGACCAACTGGGGAGAGGCTACAATGAGTACATGGAAAGTCAGGCATGGCACCTCGAGCTTGTGCACATGCAGCCCTTCACCACGGAGGATGCAGCACAACTGGAAATCTGGGTCTCAGAGCAAGGACTGCAGCAAGAGGCTGCTTCATGGACCAACAGCAGCTGTGAAGCAACGTGGCCTGCAAGTGGCATGAGTGTAGAATCCCACTGAGCTAGCAGCAGGTATCTCCGTTACACAGAGACCTATTTAATAGATCACTTGTTGAAGTGACATACAGTAGTCAAACATTCAAAACCTAGGCAGAGGTGGGCAGCCTGCAGCATGCATGCCACAAGTGGTACGGGCAGCCTGCGTGCACACACAACAGATTGGGTAGGGAACAGAAAGCAGAGGAAGGGGAAGCCTGTTATGTGCACAGGCTTAATTTGTGGCATGCCTCCTAAAAACGTTGATCCCTATTGCCCTTGGACAAGCCAGGATGCAGGTTGCCTGTACAACCTCAATCCCTTCCCCTCCTCTCATGTGTGTTATCAGAGTCTTTACTGACTTGTTTGTGCATTGCATCTCCTATGGAACCTTTGCCTCATTCAGGGCCCAGGATTGATTGTGCTCTGGGGATGCATGTGGACTAGGTAGGAAAGGAGAATGTCATTTGTGGGCTCCCTGCCTAATTAAGTGGGCCTTTTCCAATTTATGCAAAAAACAACAAGCAGGATTGCTGAGAAAGGGTGGTCTCAGTTCAAGGCAGCTGGATGTGTCTGTGGAGAACTAGCACTCATCTCTGCCTCTGCCATACACCTGCTATGCAATGCTGGGAACTTTTTGCAGGGGATCACCAAGTACATATGCCTCATTTATGGGGCTGACAACCCTGTCCAATTTACAGAAGTGCTCAGCACTTACAGTTTCAATCAAAGGGAGCTTGCTAAGTGCCAGGAAGGAGGCTATATTAAGATAGCACAGACAACCTCACTTCTGCCATTTCCTGACTTCCCAA